AGGGGCAGGCCTGATGATGAATTAATCGAAAACGTTCGTTCGCCTATCTTGACTTCTACAACGCTAATAGTTTTGGCACGGTTACGTTGTGGAAGCAAAGTTTCGTTTTTGTGAAACCAAGCGCCCCATGGGGTTGGAGTCACTATGGCGTAACTACAACAGACATGAAGGCAACGGAATTAAACAGTTCAGACCTTAAAGCTGCGAAAAACTCCTATAGAAGAACGGAAAGAACTATTTAGGGGACAGAAGTCCGCTTTCCATAGGTTCCTGTCAAACCAATACAGTTACATGGTGACTAGACGGCAGGAATGGCTTAAGAGGTCTTTTTTGCCTTTGACTTATAACAATAACCTACTTTTCCATTTTCTTAGTTCGGCAAAAATTCCTATTTCGTTTACGATTGAAAAGTCGTGTTGGCAAACAGCTGTTTTCCATTTTAAGTAATCCGACTTCCCCCTTTTTTCGTTAAATTTCACCAATGGGAGGTCGAATTTCAATTTTGGTTAAATTCCGCCAATAAAAGGTCGAAATGCCCTCAATTGGCATCCGTATCCTACGCAACAGGAGTTTGTGTTGATGGAATTTTATTCTAGTTAGTAAAATAAATAAATAAATTCTTATTTAATTTGATATTTTGTGATCTCTTCCACCACAATCAAATATTCATTTACGCTTCCTCGCCAAGAATTGTATGTTTGACCACAAAATATGTTAGGTAGTTGAGCTGGGGAATATATATTTAGAGGGCCGATTGGATCAAATAAAATATGTAGATGAAATCGAGAAATGTTCATTTTTTATGTAAGAATGGTTGGTGTCAAACAACTACGGGCAATTCTTCGGATCCTCCCTCCGTCCCCTGATACGGCTCTTCCAACCCTCCCTTCCTCCCCCTACTAACACAAACTACCATTGACGCAATCGGTGGGGCAAAAACATTATTCACAGAAAGTTTCGGATACACGCTCGAGCCCAGCATCAGTTAGGGGCAAGTTGAACACAGAGAGTTGCAGCCGCTATGCTGCGGTGATTCCTACCCAGTCAGCCACAAGCCCAGTTGCATAAGGACGCTACATATCGGCACTTTGAGACCCAACGCGGTGCACTAGAAAATAAGGTTGCCGAAGTTCAAAATTATTGGAAGGGTGCTTAGAGGAAACATCCATTCGCAGGCAGATAGACGACAAAACTGCAAAGACCTCAAATGCTGGCGAGCACAACCGTTCTTCAAGGACGTTTCGGAGGCAGTCAGAAGTCCACTAGCGCTACCTTGAGTTGAAATTGCAAACCGACAGGTCCCCTTTAGATCAAAAGGTCTGATGTCACGGAAAGAAAAATCTGGAGTCATTTATCAGATCTGGTAGTGCTGGGACTAACGCAATTAAGTTGGACAACTTGGAGGACTGCACCGGACACGAATTACCGAACACGTGAAAGCCAATACTCAAATGGTGGCCCAATCGACTAGGTCCGGCCACATAATCAAGTTCGATGAGGTGGAAATACTCGCAAGGAGTGAAAATCGCATGTGCTGTGAGTTTCATGGTTTACGGGTCTCCAGTCAGCTAACAAGTGCAATGACCTCGCCCAGCCCCCACGTTCGGGGCTAGCACTCAGTTTGGTCAAAGACGAAGAATAATCAAGTTGCAATGACAAGATAGATTATACGAGAGGTCAGTGTTGTTAATGTTCATGTAGTGCCGACCAAACTCATTGCCATGATTAAGTCCTACTATCGGTCTACTAACGTACGAGTTCTGGTTCACAACAATCTCTCAATTGTTCGATATCCGGTTTGGTGTCCGACAGGGCTGCATACTTTCGCCCATTCTGTTCAACTACGGCATTGACTGGATTCTTGGCAAGGCCCTACATGAAGAGGATGGTGTTGAGCTAGCACCCGGACGCCGGCTAACTGATCTTGACTACGCCGATGATATTGCGCTGCTAGCCTTAAGTTTTGGGGGTCTACAGTCGGTAGTGTCGCGGTTAAATGAGATCGCTATTTCGGTTAGCATGCCCATACATTCCGGAAGGACGAAGTTATTCTCGAGCTGCATCCCCGACCAGGAAAAGGCACCCCTGGGGATTAAGGGTCGTCAACTATAAGGCGTAGGAAGCTTTAAATACCTCGGGGTGGGGCTGCTACCGAATGGGCAGAGCAAGGACG